CTTTGTTACTGGTGTTCCTACTTATTAGATCCTGCATGATGCATTTAGGATCACCCTGCCCTCTGGGAGCTTCAGGTGGCGCCCAAGGAATACTACTTGCTCTATCCCCGCTCCACGTGCCGGGCCTGGTAATGCACAGGGATGCATAGTAGCTTCTTGTTTCTAATAGCTTCTTGTTAGTAAGGCACTTGTTACTACTAGCGTGGCACTTGTTCCTAGTAGCTTCTTGTTACTGATCCGGTTGGTTATGTTCAAATCATGTTCGCTCCCTTGAGGGGATTTCTGGACCCATGTGACCATGTGTTTTCACGGAGTGGACATCGACGGTGTCGTTAGGTGGCTACACTAGCTGCCTCTCTTTCAACTATAGCTAGAGGTGAAGGGTTTACTTGGAAGTCGCAGCAAGAACTCGAGTACACAGTGGCTTCTTGGCAGTCTTGTTGACAACGAGGAAACATGCCGCCTAGCGTCTACTCCTTCTGCAAGAGAAGCTAAAGAGCTGCTTTCACTTCTTTCTTGTTCAGCATATTCGGATGATTTCTGCAAAGTCCTGAGAAACTCAAGCACCGAGACCAGTTTAGCGCTATAGACTGATGGATCAACTGAGAGCTCCGCTTTTTTGGGTGCGGTGCTTTTAGCTCCATCGGTTTTTCTTTGCTCAAGCTGCACCTAGCAGTTGACCCACACCCTGTGGACGGATTGGAACACACCTTAGTGTTCCAAGGTGGATTCAGCACATGGAAGAATAGGTCGAAGATTGAGTCGAAGATTTGTCCAGTACAATGAGTCAACACTTGTCAATACCATCACAGAGCTGGTGATTCAATGTGATTCCGTCACGACAATCATAACACCTGGATCAAAGCACTCCAAATCACCAAGAAAGAGACACTCACCATCTCACCACCTTGTTGATATCCTTTTGACTCCCACTCCAGACGTCCCTTTTTGCGACCCCATTTGCCATTTCTCCAACGACAAAGCAGCGTTGGCATGGCTGTGAAGAGCCATGTTGCAGCCGTCACTCTGGTGGCCGTGCTCACTCTGTGCAGAGCGGACGGAACGGAGCTTCACAGCTGTGGAGTCTCACGGCCTCTCTTCAAGGCAAGAATCGAACGTCTTAGGAAGGCGATTGCTCATTTGGATCCGATAGCTTTGAATGTAGTAGATGTAACATGATGTAACATTTTGGCAGGACTGTACATTTTGATAATTTTTGAGAGACGTTAACATGTATAGTTCGTGTAGTTAGCCAACGTGGGCTGAGTGCTGGTGAATCCGCCATGAAATTGGGCTGATCCATGGCATCTCTTGACAAAACGTTGCCTGGTAAGTACGGACCATGCACAGGAGCTCTCATGGCTCTCCAAGAAGCTACCGTACCGGACCCTTTACTCAAGTTGCCAACTCACGAATCATTCCCTGGCACGGGTGCCAGGATACCAGCATCAAAGTGGAGCCCATTGACTCCCACAATTGGCTACAACAGGGCATCAGTGCCTATCCTTGCAGCATGTTCAACGCGGGTCGTGGGGCAATAGCCTGGCACCCATTGGTAGATGACTGCCAGGAGTTGTTCACCCCCAGATGGAATTTATGTGTTTCATGCATAAGTAAGCCACTTATCTACAAATGGTTCGTTCTTCCATCGTGAATGCTTCCAAGCACCAACAAACCTTTCTCCCACCGCTGGTGGCGTTGGGTGGCCTGGTGTGGCAAACGGTCAGACATGGTCAGACCAACTTACTCGGATTGGGACCTTAGAATACCTTAGTGCTCAGCATGGGAATCTGAGGCTAGGCAGATCTAGGCAGCTAGGCTGACTCAAGCAGTCCCACTCATTCGGCTTGTGTAGGTGTATTGTTTCATGTGTGACACCGGCCGGCTGTGTAAGTGTGCGCGTCTCAAAGTGTGGATACCAATTCGAGTGTTCAGAACGTTTCCTTTTTGGCCTCCAACCTACTTGCGATGGCCTCCATGCTTTTCATTCGCTTGCCGCCTGTTCACGCTTTTCGTCGAGGTGCTGTGCTTGGATGGGTCAACCAACTTCGGCCACTTTATTTGGAAGCGTGGGTCTGGTGGGCTACGGGAGGAGCTACAGAAGGGGAGTTGGCGCAACGTCTCGAAACTAGATAAAACCAGAGAAGTTTGCATGCATGTTCCCTTCGCTGAACCAGAGCTGGTGTCGAGGAAAAAAGTGTTTAGCAAGATCGCAGAGGTCCAGGTCGCCTCAGGCAAGACAGTCCTTCGTCCGATGGAGCCCTGCTCAACCACGTATGCCGGTCCTTTTGCAAATCCACTGACCGGTTGACTCTTCAACCTGTCTCCTTGAAACCAGTCAAGGACTGCATGTTGCAAACCCTTTTGCTTCACTAAATCAGTAACTTCCAATGCATTAGGATGGAGGCCATCGCTAGTAGGTTGGCCTTTGCTTGGAGGCCATCGCTAGTAGGTTTCTTTTCTTCTTTAAATCTCATCCACAACCATTAGCTTCTTGTTACTAGTAATTAGTAAGAATGCTCCTAGTAGCGATGCCCGGGTTCCTAGTAGCGAACATTGCTCCTAGTAGTATGGCCAGGAGCCCCTAGTAGCGTCCTTGCTACAGCCTTTTCTGATTTTGGCCTTCCGAGGTTCGGCTTCCATCCGCCCTCGGAGACAAAGCCGCAGAAGAGAAGTGATCTGCGGTGCTTGATGCCCTACCTGATGAACTGTAGCTGGATCAATGGAGTCTATGGTGTAAGGGCCGTTTGATAGTTGGGTTTTTGAAATGCTCCCTGTCATGTTTCCCAAAAGTGGAGGTTTCTATCACTTCTTGAGTTCCTACTTGAGATGCTGCAGCTGGGATTTGAACACAAGTCTACCAGAATTGTGGAGGATAAGCTCAGCGGCAGCCAGACGCAATGTTTTGACCTCGAGGGAACAGGTATAGACATGTATAGACCTGCATAGGTCTTGTAGGTTTGAAGCAACGCAAAGCTTGTGGATTCCCTATTTTCCTCAAGTGCTTACAGGAACTTGCAGGAAGGTGTGTTTGCCGCTGGGTTGCCAGATGTCAAGATTCGAAAGCCGCTGAGAAACACAAATTGATGAACTGATATGGTAACGGAGACCTTACCAAGCTCTCCATCTTCGCCCGACACAGTGTGGACGTTTCACACTCTGAGTGTTGATTACGATAAGAACATGACCACAGGCCAATACACCAGGTCACAAGAGAGGCCTAAATTTTTTGGACCACCATGACCCTGGTTTCGGTATTTGTCAATCAGAGTTGATGGAAGCTCTCGAGTTGAGTCGCTGAGGCACACATTGGCAGGTGTGCACGGGCCGATTCTGGTGATCAGGGGCTGGGAATGATCTTCCATGCAAGCATTCATCAAAAGGACACGGATTGTTCGGTAAATGAGCAAACAAGATTACTGTGCAAAACAATCTTCGGTACATGCCAAAACTATCCAAAACTATTAAGCGGAAGACCACAATCATTGGTATCCTTTGGTGTTTCTTCCGCTTGAGTCTTTCCGCTTTGAACGTTCTTCCTTATTCGGTTCCTCGTCCAGCCTTCGGAACCTGCCGCGGACCCTCCAGGCGCTGGCGGCTCAAGATCCATGCCCCGAGGAGTGTCCCTTCATCGCCCAAGTGAACCTCGGAGCGGCAAGGAGCAAGCACCCCAGTTTGTAGCTAGTATAGATATGTAGTTAATAATACAGATTATATTATAGAGATGTCTAATTGGATCTAATTTGTATAGATTAAAGAACAAATTATATTTGATGTCCATGGATGATTTCCAGCCATGGGAGTTGAAGGTAAATGGTCAGCATACAACCGGTTGTTCATGTTTGCTGATGGTAACATCCATTCCATGAAGTTTGATGTAAATTGAAACCTGCCTTCGCTGCATGGATCCTACTTGCTTGGAGGGAGTGGTCCGGTCCGTTTATTAGACTTTGAGCCTTGAACGATTTGCATTGCACAAGCAAAGTCTGAGGAAGCCCTTTGCTTGTGCCTTCACCTGCGTGAATGTCAACTTGGTAGCACTTTAATGTGCAGCAATTGGGGTATGAAGGCGAAAGTGAGGCATGGGTCAAGTCAACCCAGAAATCAGTTGCAAGGTCTTTACAACCTAAGAAATTGTCCAGTGAACCCTTCAAACAAACCATTTATGGTGTGAAACTCCCGGCAATGGCTTCACAAGTCACTTGAAGGTTTGTTTGGGGCCTGGCCATCCTTCAACAATTCCGTCTGAGTCTATAGCATGTCTTGCATGTGGCCCACCGCTGATGGTAGGGCATACCGTAATTTTGGAATATGATCCCCCCTTGATTGTGGAAACACCTTTATCCGCTGATAAACAGGAACGGTGATTCATGAACAGGAACGCAAAGTACAGGCTGAAGCGGTACCTGGAAAGTACTCGTAAGCGGAGATTAATCTGTATTGCTGGAGGTTTATATCATGAAAAACTTTGCATGTTTCCTGATGTGCAGGATACGTGCAGCTCTTTTGAAGAAAAACACTTCAAGGTGCCTATGGCCTGTGGCCTATGGTGATCGTTGGGATGAGAATCTCAACACGTCATTTGATGACGCTGAGGTGTCTCAGTGCCACTACACCGACCCTAATATGCCCTTCGCCAATCCCATGAGCAACCTTTGCGAGGACAAGCAATTGGCGGTTTCCATTTGTTTCGGGAAAAGGACAAGTTGTATATGAGACGTGCTTGGCATAGCTAGGCTAGAATTGTGTCAGTTCAACTCCGAATGCATTGCTGCTGAGACACCGATGTCATGCCTCGTTAGGAGAGCGCTATCGAAGGCTGTGGTGTGCAGGCCCTGAGCACCAGCAGAGCATCGCTCCATCAATCATGCATTGCGGCTGTTTTACCAATCCATGGTTTTGGTGTGAACAGTCATGTCATTGATAATGTTGTGTGAGGCTCAGTAGAAGCCTGCAAAAAGACAGGAGTCTTTGCTTACTTCACCTGTGGGGTGTCCCACTTAATCTTCAAACCACCAAATGCACTCATCCCATGCAAACCTGGGAAAATGCTAGTCGAGGCGGCAAAAAGAGCACAAGTGCAAGCTCAATTCACAGCCAAGTCTCGCGTGTTCGGATGAATAGCATATCAATGGCTCGTTGAACAGATCTTGCAGCACAAATCAGCAGTTCAATATTGGACTGGTTTAGGTGCTGAGAAATGATTGAAAGGGGGCACATAACGTCTTTCATACAACAAATATGATTCACAGTGATTTCGGAGTAAAAGGCGGGGAACAAGATCTGGATAGATCTCGGTAATTATTGAAATCACCTCTCTCTGGATCAAGTCGGTTGATGGGGCTTATAGTCAACTTCCAGTGGATATTTCCGCATTCCAGGGTGATCAGTGTTGGGTCCAACGCACTCAGATCAATGCTTCCGTCCAGGTGTCGTTGAGTTTTCTGGAACAACTAGAGAGTGATAATGATACATGTGGTTACATATGTGTATCACCAATCAGAAAAGTACAGTATGCGGACCACTGATGGTTCTTGAATGACGACTATAGAAAGTGCAGGACTCTGCAGTGGATACCAGAGCAACACGTTTTCTGCACCGGACACGACCATAGTCGACTGCTGGACCCATCGGGGAATCGGAGGCACAGCAAGGGCAATGCGAGCGCTGCCGGAAGCACTTTGCCATGGACCAGGCTGTGGAGTATGAAGCAACTTTGGGTGATTGCTATTAGGTTGGAGGCTATAGCTATTAGGGTCCTTTTGCTACTAGGTTGGAGGCCATCGCTTGTTAGGAGTTTGTGAGGTAAGGAGAATCTCCAGTCGAGCCGACCCAACCGCGCCGACGAACGACGTCAGGGTGGCACCCGTTGCCTCTATGACCGAGAGGTGGGAGGAAATGAGCGGTGCTGAGTGTGGCACAAACACGGAGAACTGGATGGCATACCACCTCCGTGCGGGGAAGCACATCTAGAAACTCTTTACAAGACATGTGGAGATCCATTATGTAGACAATTCCTACTCCGCCAAACCGGTACATCTGCAAACATGACCTTGCATAGACACAGTGAGCAGATTAATTATGTAGCACTCTATTGGGATGAGAGATGTGAGAACACTAAGCAGGTGGCATGTGAGTTCGCAAGGTGGCATAGTAGTCAAATGCGGCAGACTACCTTGAACTTTGGCAATACCTCTTCTGTTTGCAAAGACGTGACTTTGTCTCTTCGTCCTCACTTCTCAGGCAAGGCTCTTGGGACTCAGCTGGTCTAGGGAGGTCTTTGAGTGAAGCCATATCATGGAAGTGCAGATTAGCAACAGCCCCATCTTCTTGTCCACGTGAGGGTTCGCTGATTTGGTTGGTGGAGCACCTCCATGCGATGGGCTCCTTTGCCGATTTAAGCTGAGCTGTGGAGAGTTGTTCTGAAAACGCTTGTTTCCCTGGTGTGTCCGAACAAAAGGTGGTGTCATCGGAGTCAGCGACTTAGCGGATAGATCTGGAAGTCACTGTGGGTGAAGAATCAGAGTGGTCTGGGAGCTAATGTTGGCCAATTCTGCAACATCTAGATTTCCCAGGTGCTTGTCCAGTTTTCGCGAACAGAAAGCTGGATGAGATGTTTTTCAATGTTGTTACATCGTGATCTTTCTTTCACTGAACATTCTCCAAGGGTTTGGATTTGGCTGGAGGAAGGGTGAAAATTGTGGGAGCATGCTGGAATGTCCGACTTGGCTGGGAAATTTACATATAAAGCCCCAGTACATGCAGACATCTCACGACTAACAAAAGACACATTCGGACATATTGCATTGCCGGAAAATACGAGAACACATACTCCCGTCAGTCCAGCAGTAGCGGGTGTGCAACCTCCTTCCTTATTTTTTAGGTCGTTCTGCTCTATTTAAGTCACTGAGAATGCTGGCGTCCCGCAACGTCCTTCAATGCCCCAGGCTATTGGGTTTGGATTGTTCTGGTCTTGATGCTCAGTTGCTGTTGCTGGCAATTCCGTGGAGCTTTAGCCAAGCACTGGCATTTGCTGACCTTTGCGCGGATGCACTACCATCTTTGTAAGGCCAGGAGCTCTCAAGGGCTCATAGCGGGTTTTCATTTGATGCGTCGCCCTTTGCACTAGGGCCGACTTGCTGGTGAGAGACTTTGTTGGTTTGTAGATGCAAAGCCTATTTAACTTCTTGCCTACCAACCATATGTTGGCCCTTCCAGCAACCAGTGGTTGTAAACATACAGATCCACCTACAAATGTTTGTGGATCCTCTCTAGGGCCCCACCACTCCTTTGCAACGTAGGAGCAGAAGAGGACGCATACTACCTTGGAATTTCCTGAAGCAACCTCTTGGAAGTGATGCACTGCGCATATGCGCATAGCTTTGCCAGCTAAGCTAAGACTAGAATAGCTGCTGAACAACAGGGAGCTTGAGAAGTAGCTCCACCATCGTACTTGTACAATATCCCTCGTTTGGGAGGGTGGCTTTAGATGTTTCTCTTCACCTGACAAGCAGTATCAACTACTTCCATTTGCCACACAAAAGGCACGTCGTGGCCTTCCCGAATGTAAACTCATCTTCCTGAGCCCAGCTGCACGGAGGTGCGAAAGAACCCCAAGGTCCACGCGGGGGCACCGCTCTTCTCGATCTGCGAGAACTTGCATACCAAGCCGCTCGTCGTGGGGGCAACACTTGGTTTTAGAAGGGCGTACTTTAGCATACTTGGGTGGTCTTGTAGATGAACACGGCACTTTGTTGTTAAGCCGTGAATTCTGGGAGTGAACTATTCAATACAAAATATGTTCCTCCTTTGGGGGAGATGGCTCTCCATCTTCCTGAGCCAAGGTTTGTGATTGGCGTTGGGCTGCCGCTCTACTATAATTCCTTGGTCTTCTTGTTAATCATCTCAGTCGCTTGACTCGCACAATTCAGATGGCGAGAGGAGCTTGAAGGGAATTTGCAGAACAGTTGCTTCGGGGTCCTAATAAGATGGTTGCCCTTGTTCACAGGCCTGGCATAGAGCCTGTCTAAGCAACTTTGCTTTTGGAAGGAGGTCAATATGCATCCATCCTAGCATGTCGGAGTGTCGCCTTGCATGTGCCTTGCTCAGATCGTTCTTGTTCACAGGATTTGACCCTGCAACCAGTTTGGATTCTGAGAGAGGACATAACAATTCACAAAGACATTCAAGCTGAGAGTTCCTGGTTTTTGACCAGCAAACATGTGTTTCCTTGTACTCCACAGGTCATAGTGGAGTTTTGTATGTCGGAGTGTCAAGTGCCATTGGGTGACTCCACGAATTCAGATATTTGTGTGACCGTGTCGCTACGAGCCTTTTTTGGATCCAGAGACCATCGCCCTTAGCTTGGAGGCCATCGCTATTAGGTTGGAGGCCATCGCTATTCGGTTGGAGGCCATCGCTTCTAGGTTGGAGGCCATCGCTATTAGGTTGGAGGCCATCGCTTCTAGGTTGGAGG